GATGTCAGACACTGTAATATGCTCTGGTCCCCTCCCTGCTTACCATGGTGACGAGATGCATAGCAGACTGTCGTCACTCAATGGCTGGATGTCTAAGTGGTGCCCGCTGAATAACATAGGTTTCATAGACAATTGGACGAGTTTTTGGGGCAGACCTGACCTGTTAAAAAGAGATGGTCTTCATCCCTCCTGGGGTGGTGCTGCTCTTGTGTCTAGAAATATGGCACAGAGTCATAGAGTTTGTACTTGACTAACTGGGGCCCAGGTCAGGAAGCAGACAGACTGGCTAAACCGACCATCTGCTAGCCGCTTCATGTCACAGAAATCAGTTCATTCTCAGCACATAGAAATTCTTTCACCTAGATATCACACTATAGAGGCTGTGTCTGTTCCTCGAACTAGAAAATACAAAAAACTTAACAATTGAATTTATGTTCAACAAATAAAAAACAGATGTAATACAAATAAACAAATGATAAAGCTTGGCTTATTGAATATCAGGTCCCTATCTACGAAAGCACTTTTTGTAAATGATATGATCACTGATCATAACCTAGATGTGCTCTGTTTGACAGAAACCTGACTAAAACCTGATAGTTACATTATTTTAAATGAGTCTACCCCCCAAGATTACTGTTATAAACATGAGCCACGTCCAAAAGGTAAAGGGGGAGGTGTTGCTTCAATTTATAACAATGTTTTCAGTATTTCTCAGAGGGCGGGCTTCAAGTATAACTCGTTTGAAGTAATAGTGCTTCATATAACATTATCCAGAGAAGCACATGTTAATGATAGATCCCCTGTGATGTTTGTACTGGCTACTGTATACAGGCCACCAGGGCACCATACAGACTTTATTAAAGAATGTACTGATTTTATATCCGAGTTAGTGCTGGCTGCAGATAAAGTTTTAATTGTTGGTGATTTTAATATCCATGTTGATAATGAAAAAGATGCATTGGGATCAGCATTCATAGACATTCTGAACTCTATTGGAGTTACATGTCAGGACCTACTCATTGTCGAAATCATACTCTAGATGTAATACTGTCACATGCAATTGATGTTGATGGTGTTGAAATTATGCAGCAAAGTGATATCTCAGATCATTATTTAATCTTGTGCAAACTTCATATAGCTAAAACTGTAAATTCTACTCCTTGTTACAAGTATGGTAGAACCATAACTTCTACCACAAAAGACTACTTTGTAAGTAATCTTCCTGATTTATCCCAATTCCTTAGCATATCCAAAACCTCAGAACAACTTGATGATGTAACAGAAACTATGGACTCTCTCTTTTCTAGCATTTTAAATACAGTTGCTCCTTT